ATTTTTAAAAATGACTGAATGACATAATGAAAAAATGACTTGGAAAAAAATAAGACCCTTATTTTTCTCTTAAAACAAACAAAATAACCATAAGTTTTGGCTGCTTAACAAACAGCACCCCATAGATTTCTTTATTTAAATGCATATTTCTTCACAAACTAGTCTGTGAAAATGATAACATGGCATCTAAGTGGCATTTTGCCACTGGTATCATCCAGTATCTTTTAGTCCAGATGAACTTTTAGAACTTTGACATCCAGTTAAGCACCTCAGGCAATATAAGGAGAAGAATGTCATCAGTGGAAACAACAAATAAACAAGTGGTTCTGTTTTCAAAATCCATTTCATGACAGCTGGAATAGATTCGGCTCCACATCTACTTTCTAATGTTATTTATTAAGATTGTGTAAACACAGTAGATATTTACACTGCAAAAGTGAAGGTATAAAGATATTATTTTCCTTGGATTTCAGTAGCAATTAAAAAGATTCAGTTTTACATTAAAATAAGGGGGGAAAAAACATTTTATTTAAAGTGTATAATATGTAATTATCTCATTTTATGGGCAAAATAGTTATTCTATTGGCGGATCATCTTAGGTACCTGCTTAAACCAAGAGCAAATACACTTATTTAAGGAAACGTCTTTGTTTTTAATTAGTTTTTGCAGTTAGATGTACACATCTAACTTTTCATGCAAAACGTTCTTCAATGCTATAATGGCAACAGTAACCAGGACTTTAGGATTTTATAATTTAACTTTTCTTTGATCTGTGCCTCTATTTACGGATGGACAGACCGTGAATTAGATTAAAGTTTGATATTTATAAATATGAGCTCATTCAGGAAGAAAATACTGCAAATATTCTGCCTGCTAGTTGAACATTTTGAAATATGTTAAGAAAACTCATATTTCCCATAGTCTTAAATGCAACGCAACGTAAACTGGGAGAGCTGCCGCAAACAACAGGAGCAGTGTCGTAAAATCTCAGCGATGGTGTGTATGAAAAAGTGGATTGTTATTTTCTCTCGGTGAAAACAGTTTTTTACGGAGATCATTGTGGAAACTATGCAGTTTTATCGAAGTTAATTTCTTCACCTGAGGCGGTGACGCGGATTAACGCCAAAATGAAGCGTGTGTTTAAATACAGCTGCCGAAAAAGAAGTTGAGCTTTAGAAGTTGAGCTTTACCAAAAGAAAACCTGGAAAATGGAAACTCGCAACAGTAAAGGTAAAACAACGCTGCTCCTAAATAGTTGTTGGTTTTCAGTGTAATGAATGTAACCAAGCAAAGGTTGCTGTAGGGACTCTGTTTTTCTTTTCTCCAGTTGATGGAGGACCCTGCGCTGTGGTGGAGGTGAGCCCAGACATCCACATCTGCGGCTTCTGCAAACAGCAGTACAATAATTATGAGGTTTTTCTCGCACACAAGAAAAACGGATGCTCTCTTCCGTCTCACGCTTCGGCCAGCTCTGCTCCAGCTTCCCTGACAGGTTCGGGTTGTATTTTTAAAGCCGTTTTTATGTTTGTTGTGATGAAAACTCCTAAAAAATTTGTTCCAGGCTGGTGCTGTTCTACCTGGCGGCCACCAGGGGGCGCCAGAACAACTTTAGGAAGGAGAATTTTAGAAAATCGTCTGTTTATCACAAAGTTAGGGTTGTCAAAATGATCAAGACTTTTGGGAATATCGATATAAATGGTAGTGATAGGTTAATGAGGCATTTTGAAGCGTTTTGACACATTGTTAAAACTGTCTCACGGAATACTGACACCTGCTGGACATTTAAAGACACTACAGGCAGCTTATTTGACAGAATAAACTGAATTGATTTGATGGCTGTGTTCGAATTGATGGGCTGCGTCCTCCAAGGAATGCCGAAGTTTTCAAAACTGTTTGTTTATTTATTTATTTTTAATTGTAAAGTGAACAAAGACTACACTCACGATAAAATAGAGTGGAATAAATGTCTCAGCCACCGGGAGCATGAACAAATAAAATCAAATGTAATGATAGAAACCTTAGTCAGTTAAATAACCTGCTTCCGTCATTTTGCACATCTCTAATGTTGCTGCTATTTTCAAATACTTTACCATTACTGTAAATATGTCCATAGCTGTTTATTGGTTATTTATTCTCCAGGTGAACAGTTTTATATTGTTAAAACACTTTACAGTATTTTATCGTTCATATTTGAACTCTTCCCTGTTATATTATTCGTATACATTTTTCTGTCCTTAAATTACAGCCAAACCCTTTTATACAGTAACAGATAAAAACCTTTATATAAATCAAAAATTACCGCCACATATTTGACTCAATAACCATTAAACCAATAACCATAACCATTAGATTAGATGAGCTTTATTGATCTCACAGCGGAGAAAAATTCACTCGTCACATATTGGCATAGTAATTAAAGAAGAAGGTGCAAACAAGGAGGAAAAAGGTGCATTAAGAATAAACAATATATATACAGTATATCAAGATAAATAAGGATTAAGGTGCAAGTGTACATGTGTCGCACACAATGCAAAACGTAATAAAAATATGAAATACAAAATACAAAACTATTCACAAGTTGTATTATTTTAAAGTGAACTTCCAATATTCACCACTGTTCGGCACCAAGAACCTTTTTACTCTGATCACAGAGCAGCCCGCTTGCTTGGTCTCGCAATGAATCGTGGGATATCAAAAGATTGTGAGGATACATCGGACCCGTCCTTCAAATCAGGCTAAAAGAAGGACGCATTTTAAGGCCGTATAACGAGGAGTCTTTGAATCTGACCAGACCTCGGCGCCGCTTTTTGACATAATTATCCTTCGAATCTGGCCTTCTGAGGACGCAGCCCATGAAATCGAACAGAGCCGATGACCTAGTACAGGGGTTGGCAACCTGCGGCTCTTTAGCTCCACCCTC